CCTGTATTGGAGACCCCTTTTATAAGATCACATCAGAAGCTCTGCTGGTCACTCAGCAGCTTGTGAAAGTTATCAGGCCTTTGGACAAGCCTTACACCTTTGATGCCAAGCCCTATGTGAAGGATCTTTTCCCTGGTACTCTGAAGCGGCTGAAGGCAGCTGACATCGACCAGGAGGTGAAGGAACGTGCCATCTCCTGCATGGGACAAATCATTTACAACTTGGGAGACCATTTAAGCACTGACCTCCAGCCAACCTTGAAGATATTTCTGGAGAGGCTCAAAAATGAAATCACCAGACTGACAACAGTCAAAGCATTAACCTTAATTGCTAGTTCTCCACTTAAAATAGATTTGAGACCCATCCTAGGGGAAGGTCTCCCCATTCTAGCTTCCTTCTTGAGAAAGAATCAACGTGCCTTGAAACTGAGCACTCTGAATGCTCTGGACATCCTGGTGAAGAACTACAGCGACAGCCTCAAGCCTGCCATGATTGAGGCTGTGCTAACAGAGCTCCCTGTCTTAATTACTGAGAATGACATGCACGTGTCCCAGGTGACCATCATGTTCCTCACGACTTTGGCCAAGGTCTATCCATCCTGTATCTCCAAGATCAGCAGCTCTGTCCTTGCTGAAATCTTTCAGCTTGTCCACTCACCTTTGCTTCAAGGAGGGGCCCTGAATGCCATCATCGACTTCTTCCAGGCACTGGTGCTGACAAAGACAGCTACTGTGGGTTACTCGGAGCTGATGAAGCAGCTGACAGCGCCCGTTTACTCCTCGGCTTCGGCCGGGGCCTCGCTGCCGTTGCACAAGCAGGCGTATCACTCCATCGCAAAGTGTGTGGCAGCCCTGTCCTCAGCCTGCCCGAAGGAAGCCCCTGCAACAGTGAACCAGTTTGTCCAGGATGTGAAAAGTCCCAAGTCCAGCCCTGCTGTTCAAGTGCTGGCTTTCCTCTTCCTGGCAGAGGTGGGCCGCAGCACGAACCTCAGTGCCCAGAGGGAGCTCAGAACCGTCATCCTGGACGCGTTCGCTTCCCCCAGCGAGGAGGTGAAATCCGCCGCCTCCTACGCGCTGGGGAACGTCAGCGCTGGCAACCTGAAGGAGTACCTGCCCTTCATGCTGAAGGAGATCGGAAGCCAGCCCAAGCGACAGTACCTGCTGCTGCACTCCCTGAAGGAAGTCATCAGCTCCTCCCCAGCTGACAGCCTCACACCTTACGTGGAGGATATCTGGGCTCTGCTCTTCAAGCACTGTGAGTGCACAGAGGAAGGGACACGCAACGTGGTGGCAGAATGCCTGGGGAAGCTGACTTTGGTGAACCCTGCTGAGCTGCTGCCCCGGCTGAGGAAACAGCTGTCAGCAGGTAATGGGTAGGGCAATGGCCAGAGTGGGGAGATGCTGCCTTTTGATGGAAATTCGTTTTGTAAACTGCTTGTGGGTACAACAGGGAGCAAAGCCAGTTGAGAGGAGAGCAGGTAACAAGATGGATCTCTCTGCAAGGGGGATCAGAGGAGCACTGGTCCCCACAAGAGCAGGAGGGTGCTGGGAACAGGGACTACACAAGGAGATGGTGCAGGAGCAGATTCAAACACAGAGTTGATAAGAAGAATCCTCTACTCCCTTATCTCTGTAACACGTGAAACAGGACCAAGGGCAGAATATGTACTGGACAGTTCCAGCAGTGATTTTCTTTCTTGATTTTTCACTGTTTTTCTTCCCTTCTTCATTGCAGGCTCCCCACATGCCCGGAGCACCGTGGTCACTGCCATCAAATTCACGATTACAGACCATCCTCAGCCCATTGATGCTCTCCTGAAAGGCTGCATAGGTAGGCTGGTTTGGACAGGGGTGGGAGCTGGGGGCATGAGAGGTTGGGTGTTGTTAGAAGCTCAGGGATTTTCCACTTCTGTATGAACCTCATCTAGTCCAGTTAGTTTTTATCAGTGTTTCTCAGCTTTTGGGTTTAAACAGAAATGCTGTACTGTGATTCTTTGCTAAATGCATTGATGCCTCACTCTTGCCCATGTTCCATTGTTTTTAAGTTCTTTCTGCATTTAAACTCAGAATTCCCCACAAAAAGGATCTTCAAAAGTATAGCCTACATGAGTGTTTGATGTCCAGGGAGCCCACACATGATCTGCTGTATAAAACTGGCCATTCTGTTTCAGAGAACTTTGACCAGATGGGACTTAAGCAAGAAAAATCCCCCACAACTTCCTTGAATTACAAAGCTTCTGATTTGACTTTAGGGTGAGGTAGCTTGAGTCACACTGTTTGTTTTTATGCCCAAATGCAGGATAGTCATGTTTCTTTACTGTATCCCAAATGGAGGGAGAGAAAGCATCTTAAATGGTTCTGACAGACTGTGCCACTAGTTATTTTGCCATAAATGCTCTCATAACCAGCCTCTGAAATACACCCCAATATACTTTTAAAATACTGTAAAAATATTGCAACCTATTGGCTGCAGGATTGACTGATGTGTTCTTATTTTACAGGTGACTTCTTAAAAACTCTGCAAGATCCAGACCTGAACGTTCGCCGTGTGGCTTTAGCCCTGTTTAATTCTGCTGCTCACAACAAGCCTTCTTTAATCCGGGATTTACTGAACACAGTCCTACCCAGCCTGTACAATGAAACCAAAGTGCGAAGGGAGCTCATCCGGGAGGTAACTGGGCTCAGCTGGGTGCCACACGGTGACTCAGCAGCCTGTCATGCCCAGATGGAGCTGTTGCTCTGCTCTTTGGTGACAGTTGTACTGTTTGTTGTGGTTCAGGTAGAGATGGGGCCATTCAAGCACACAGTGGACGACGGCCTTGATGTGAGAAAAGCTGCTTTTGAGTGCATGTACACCCTGCTGGAAAGCTGCCTGGACCGGCTGGACATCTATGACTACCTGAACCACGTGGAGGATGGGCTGAAAGATCATTATGACATTCGGGTAGGTGCTGTGCCCTGACTGATGTCATTTTCTCTGTGGGGCCTGGGCTGCCATCAGGTTGTGTGTGCCCACAGCCCCAGGCTGCTGCAGAGTCCCCAGGGCTGTCGGACCTTTGCACAGTTGCAGCACTGCACACACCTGGGCCAGCTGCAGCTCCAGCCCCCTGGCTCCCAGGGCTGTGTTTCCAGCTCTTAGCAGAGCCCCATGCACAAATGCAGAGGAACTCACGATACAGCCAGGCCTGTCAGCAGAGCTGGGTACCACAGAGAGCCAACAGCAGTTTATCTCCCCTCCTGGCAGATGCTGACGTTCATCATGCTGGCACGGCTCTCGGTGCTCTGCCCCAGCGCTGTGCTGCAGCGGCTCGAGCGGCTGATCGAGCCCCTCCGGGCAACCTGCTCCACAAAGGTAAGAGCAGGACCATGCAAGGGCCCGGGCTGGGGCTCTGCTCCTGGCCTTCTCCCTCAGTGCTGCTGAGCCACCTACTTCCCTCACTTCCCCAGCTGGAAAATACTCTGCTGGTCTTTGTTACTGTGTTGGTTCTGTGCCTGTACTGCGCTTTTCTAAATGCCAGCTAGAAATGGGGTTTTGGATTTGCAGGTGAAAGCCGGTTCAGTGAAGCAGGAGTTTGAGAAGCAGGATGAGCTGAAGCGCTCAGCCATGCGTGCAGTGGCTGCTCTCCTGACCATCCCTGAGGTGGAAAAAAGCCCAGCAATGGCTGAGTTTTCATCCCAGATCAGATCCAGTCCTGAAATGGCATCACTTTTTGAGAGCATTCAGAAAGATTCTGCTTCCCTCCCCACCTCAGAGTCAATGGATGTGAGCTAAGATGTTTTTCCCCACTACCCTGCTGCCCCTGGGATGCCCCAGCCAGACACCAGCTGCATGGGGAAGATCAAATGCCGTTCAGCTGCTCTCCTGCCACAGCCAAGTCCAAGTTCCTGGGCAGCCACAGGAGAAACTGGGGATGGTGTGAAATGTGACAGCTGGACATGACTGGCCTGATCCAGCAGCACTCCTATCAGACACCTCAGAATTGGAATGAGACCTGAGGTCAGGAATACAGCCTCGTGTAGGAGAGGGGCTGGAAGATGATTATTCCATTTTTTCAGTCAGTCAGTTTTAAGGAGTGCACAAAACAATTGCAGTTGTGGTCACATGAACAATGGAAATTACTTCCTCAAATTCTCCTTACCACAGTACAAAGGCTTTTTAATCACTGCACATGCACTTTCTACCTTAAACTGCCCAAGAATGTATTTAGTGTTTAACTAAAAAACATGGCTAAAAACTGGAAGCCATGTCTTTATTAATGGGTTCATCCCACAGGCCTTTTGGGAAAAACTTGCACGTGCCAAGCTGCAGAGGCTGCACAGGGCAGGGGGGGTTACCTGACACCCCCAGCCTCCTCCTGGGGCTTCAGTTTGGCATTTGGGCAATATGAAACTTTGTTGCTTGGCTTTCCTATTTATAGTTTTGACTGCAAAATACCTCAACCGTCTTCCCCGAGGGATGATTAGTGACTGTTTCAGTGACAAATCCTGCTTAAAGCTTTGCTTTGCACTAACACTGGCTTCTCTCTCCCCTTGGAGCACCTTGGTGTTAGTGTCACCAGCTATAAGGGTCTACTGGTCCTGGTCACACACCAGCAGCAGCACCAGTGGTCAGTGTCAGGAGCCAGGGGTGCAAGCACACAGCCCAGAGCGGCTGCTGTGCTCAAATCCTGCTTCATGCAAGAGAAAATGCCTTAAGAGACGAAGGTTCTGACAGCTAACTGGAGGATGAGGCCATCATGACACACTGCTCTAGCCATGAACTGCTCTGTGCTTTCTTTTCTCTTTTGACAGAGTGGTTGATGTGAATAGTATTTATAGTGCTGTGTGAAAGGGTATCTGTTGTCTGGGTGGTATAGAAAATAAAATACACTTGTGAAGCTGTGTTCCCTGAGTTCACTGACCATCACCATGACACTGCTCCTTGAGTGTCCCTGAGAGCAGAGCCCTGGAGCCAGACACAGGCTGCTGCCCCTCCCCTGCCCATGCAAAACAGCACCCGAGTTGGACTGACACTTTATTAAATACACCTGTGCTGCAGAGGCTGCTACTCGTTCTCCTCGCTGCGCAGTCTGGCGTTGGGGTTGGTGATCTTGATGGCGAGCTGTGCGGCTCTCTCCACAATGACCTTCCTGTTCTTCGAGGACACGTTGTGGGCAATCTCTGCACAGTACGACCTGTTGGAGACAGACAGTGCTGAGCTTGGCTCTGGCAGCACCCAGAGCCAAGGCAAAGCCCTCTGGAGCCATCCCACCATGGGAAAGCGTTGGAGCTTTCCTGCCAGCAGTACTTGGACACAGCTGAGCATGGGGGCACCACTGCATGGGCACTGAACCATGACTGCCACCGCTCACCAAGCCTGACTCGCCTGGCCTGAAGCAGGAGCTCCCCTCCAGAACAGCTCAGCCATTCTTGTGAATGACTCAGTCAGAGGTAGTGGTTAATTATTGCTCTTACTACTTTATACTGAAAACAAGCACTGGGGAAGACTTGTACCCAGGTCTGACCCAGAGCCCCAGTTCTGACCCTGGTTACCAGCCTGGCACAGCCTTGCTCACCACTGTTGTATCTTTGCCAAGGGGATGAGATTGTCAGCCCCAAGGCCTCTCTGTGCCCCCACCCTCCAGTGGCATTGAGGGAATTGTGATGGCATCTGTGCTCTCAAAGGCAGTCACTTCCCTCATTTCACCCTGACCATGCCACCTCTCCCAGGTGTGAGTACAGGCCCCACACACTCACTTGTTGCTCATCATCAGCACTTCCAGCTCTTTCACATTGTGGACCAGGAACTTTCTGAAGCCTGTGGGCAGCATGTGTTTTGTCTTCTTATTGCTGCCATAGCCAATGTTGGGCATCAGGATCTGCCCCTTGAAGCGCCGGCGCACTCTGTTGTCGATGCCTCTGGGTTTGCGCCAGTTGCGCTGCACAAATGCAGAGAACAGTTACAAAACGAGACTCCCCTGCACACAGCTGGCCTGAAGGCTGCACACACTGACCTCTCCCTGCCCTGCTGGGCTTTCCTTCACCACCTACACCAAAGGCACCCCAAAAGGTCTTGTCACTGGGAGCCTGCAGCAACTCCTCACCTTGATCTTGACATAGCGGTCGGACTGGTGCCGGATGAACTTCTTGGTTCTCTTCTTGACGATCTTAGGCTTCACGAGAGGCCTGAGGGCAGGCATGGTGGCTGCGGGACAGAGTGGGGTGAGCGAGGGGCATGGCCAAGGCGCGGTGCAGCTACCCGGGCAATACGTGTCGCAGACTGCCTTCCCCCGCGGGCCACAGCAGGCCGGTGAGGGAATGGGTCTTCATCTGCTGAGGCTCTGCCTCCCGCCTCCGAAACTGGCAGAGCACTGGGAGCTCTCCAGATGCGATCCTGGGAGGTGGTGTGTTGTCATCCCCGCGGCCCTGCGATGCTCCTGCCCGGAGCCCGGCGCACCGGACAGCGACCGAGACCCTCCGGCTCCGCCCGCCCACGCTTCAGAGGCCCCGGCCCGGCTCGTGGACCGAGCGCTGCCCCGGGAGCGCGACCGAGGCGGCCCCGCCGCCCGGGAAGGGGCATGGCTGAGGCTGCTGAGGCCCCAGCACCGCCCATCCGGGGTCGCCCCGGCAGGCAGAGGAC